ACCCGTTTACAGCAACAGGACCTGTAACAAATTTATGAGACTTTACAAGATACACAGACCAGATCATTCAAAGTTATTCCTCCAGACACCGTTATCAAAGACTACACAAAAAGAATGTGCTTTCTTATTAACATGGCAGTCCTTGCATATTATAATATTTCTTTGATTAGATTATCAAAAAAAAAAAAAAAACTATAAAAATACAAGGAACTTGTAGTGGAAAATATGTAGCCCATGAAGACATCAATAATTCGTAGTTGGAGCCCTGGGTTTGATTGTAAAAAAAAATTCTGATAAACTGATTAAATAGATCCACGGTAGAACATGCCTTAAACAAATACAAAAAAAAAAAAAAAAAAAAAAAAAAATTGACAAATACAGCTTACATCTTACAGACGGTTTTAACAATATAAAATGTGTCTGCTCTTAAATCCAAACGTTTTCAGTGAAAATGTCATGATGCCATTTCTGACCTTAGGTCTCTGGTTCGAACCCGGAAAGAAATAAGTATACAACAGAAATCAAAGGAAATAATAATAAGAAGAAGAAGAAGAGAAGGAAACTGTAAGAATTTGGAGATGAACACCATCCAGACAGAGTTTTAGATATAGGACCTGTAATAACTTTCTGGAACTTTGCACACAGACACAACAATCACCCAGACATAGTGATCAAAGACCAAAAAAAAAACAGAATCTGCTTTCTTATTGACATGGTAATTCCTGCAGACTGTAATGTATCTTTGAAGATTTTCAAAAAAATCTATCAAAATATAAGGATCGTGAAGTGGAAATGTAAATGGATGTGGCACATGAAGACATCAATAATTCAGTTGTGCTTGGGGATATGGGTCTTATTGGAAAAGGTTGTGATTAATGGGATCCCTAATAGGCCATACCTTAAAGAAATACAAAAAAATTCTCCCAGGTAGAGCTCATACCTTTCTCTATGCAAAATATGGATGCTCTGAGGTTGATTTATTTTTAATTCTTTTTACGAAAATGGCCAGTGAAAATGTCATGATGCCATTTCTGACCTTTGGGATCCGGAAGAAGATGAGAATATAAGAGAGATCAAAGGAAATACTACTACTACTACTGCTAATAATAATAATAATAATAATAATAAAAGCCCTGAAGAGGCAACTAGAGGAATCAGGGTCGGCCACGGAAGGAAGGGAGTGGAAAGCCAGGCTCCTGCCGGTCGTTGCTACTGGGTAAATCATAAAATAATCGGCAAAGTCCTACAAAAACGTAAAGAACAATCAAGTCAAGTTCTTATGGAATTTCAACATCAAAACAAACCTCATCCTTAAAGCCACGAGATGATAGAGATGGTTTTGCAGATGTTATGGGAAATTCCACTCAAAGTAATCTTTTGTAACTCTGAGATGCTGATGTGTCCAAGAATTTTACTCACGTGATTTCGATACTCAACTTTATCAAACCCAACGCCTATATCCCAACACGGATAATCATAATTTTAATTTTCCAAATTTTTACTTCGGTTTGCAGGTCTTTATAATCTATTATTATTATTATTATTATTAATAGTAATAATAAATTGCTATTAAAGACCACAAACAAAAAAAAGTGCCTTCTTATTGATATGGCAGTCCCTGCAGACAGCAATGTATCTTTGAAGATATTCAAAAAGCTGTCAAAATACAAGGACCTTGAAATAGAAATCTCAAAAATGTGGCACATGGGAACATCAACAATCCCAGTTGTAGTTGGAGCCCTAGGATTGGTTGGAAAAGATTCCAGTAGACTAATCGAAGGGATTCCTGGAAGTACATGCCTCAAAGAGATACAAAAAATTGTTCTCACAAGTACAGCCCACACTTTACGAAGGGCTTTATCTATGTAATTTTTTTTTTTTTTGCAGTGGAAAGTATCATGACGCCATTTCTAACCTTAGGTCCCTGGGCGGGACCCGGAAAGAAATGTATAAACGCCAGATATCAAAGTAAATAAAAATAAAAATAATAATAACAATAATAATTGAATTAAATAGACCGGCATAATTATCAAAAATCGAAAAGAAAAAAAAATTGCCTACTAATTGATTTGGTTGCCCAGCGGACTGTAACATAGCAACCAAGAAAATTGAAAAAAACACTCGAAGTACCATCAACATAAAACAGTTTCGATTTGCGTTCATAAAATTAACATTTTCTCTCATTTTCAGTGATATTTTATACTGATTCGACAATATTTTGCCAACCCTTTCTGTCCTCTGCAAGTTTGAGGATTCGTTGCAGATCTTCCTTGATTGTAAACTTCTTCAAAGGAAAAGTGGGATCTTTCTGTCTTGCTCTTTGAATATCTCAGTTCAGCGTTGTGACTATGGTGGTTCTTAGATGACCTCTGAACTTTTGGAAGTCAGTCTTTTAAAACTCTATGGCATTGTTAACTAGGCATTCTGGATCCATTCTGTTTGTTGCCATTCGTATGTTTTTTTCTTGAACAGTCAGCTGCATTACAGCCACACGGTCTGATACTTTCCAACATAGATCTACATTATTCCTCCATTTACTCTTGACAACAAATCTGTTTCCATAATTGCATTATGTCTCTAAACATATCAGCTGGTGTTTAATTTTTCCGATGTTACTGTTCAGACCAGATCCAATTTTTCATTTTCCGAATATTGTCTTTCTCAGTATGCAGTGTCTTAAATAAGTAATTACTGCGTAGCAGCAACTGGAGCAGCCATTACCTACTCCGCCAAAATGTATCGAAGTATAATGACCAGGAAAACGAAATAGAAAATAAAATGTGGAAATAGTACCAGTCATATTAGGTGCTCTTGGAATGCTAAAAAAGGAACACAACAACACATTAAAAAAATCCTTGGAAATCCCAGCTTAAGAGGAATACAAAAAATATCTTGATAAGAACAGTCCACAGACTAAGAAGAACTTTGTCCCTGTAACGCTAGTTATGGAAGTTAGAAAAACAAATCAAGAAATGTACCAATAACAACACACCATTACCTGCTGTAGGTCTTCTCGCAGATTTGGTAGGTAGTGTGACCATAACAGAAATCGAAATATAAGGATTATAATAAAAATAATAATAAATACAAATACCTGACCGCTTGCTGCTGGAATAGCGATGACGTAATTGTAAATATTTTGACTCCATTTATAGTTTAAGGTCATTGAATAGCAAATATGAAAAGATCGAAGCCAAATTTCAATATTAAAAGCAGAAAATCGATTCTCAAATTGACAGAGAAGGAATATTTTTTTCTTGTTCACTCTGCACCTAAAATAATGATTTTGGGAGCAGTTTTTTTTTTTATCCTTCTGTTGCTGGGAAACCCTGAAAGTCGAAAATAAAATTTATTTCCAATATTTTTGTTCGAATTTTCAGTGTAATTAAGTAATTATGGACACATGCATGCGGCTTGAATTTGTTTCTGTGACATAATCTGAATCGTTCGCCTGATTTGCTATTTTTGTTTTTGTTCCCTGAAAGAAACAACAAATTGACAGATAGCATTGCAGGAAGAATTTTATTAAAAGGAGCAGAAAGCATATGAATGGTAACGTCTGCGTGCCTTCATTTTGTTTCTACACAGAGTTTACGAGTGACTCTGGCGAAAGATAAGGACGTCTAATTATGAGCTATGATAAATTCTTGATCGGCCGGTTGCTAGGAAAACTCGCAAAGTTTAAATAAATTCTAATTCTATTGTTTATTTATTTATTTATTTATTGGGTAGGGGTGGGAATGAATTGGCATGAACTGAAGCGTATAAAACGAGCGATTTTAAATCCCTCTGCACGACTTTCAAAATCAATTTACTCAGCACCCAGCAACCGGAGAGCTCTGGTTGATAAGGTTGTCACGTGATCGAACGAACCTTTCGTCCGTCAAATACCAAATGATAAAAGGCCGTTCTGCGCGATGGAGGTACGATGGCTTTTTTTTTTTTTTTATTCTGTGTATTATTAAAATCTCCGCGTGTTTTTATATTCAGTTTAAGCGATCTTGAAAAAGAAATAGCAAGAGAAATTTTGCTAAGCACTCTATCGATAACAATGCAATCTTTTTTGTGGTATAAAGTAAGGGAATTTTTCCTTTTTTTTTTTTTTTTTTTGAGAATTCACTGCCCTTTTTTTTATTTTTATGTTTTCCCGCACCACCCAAACTTTATCAATTTCTTTTTTTTAAGATTTGGATTTTCTATTATATTTATTTATTTATAGTGTATTTTCTCTTTTTTTTTTCTTTTTTTTCGGCTTTCAACTTGGTTCTCCGATTTCTAAGAATTCTTCTGATTCGACTTTATTAACTTGGACTTTTTCTACGAGTTCATTAAATGACTTATTCGTCTCCATTCTTACCGTTCGTTTCTTCTTTTTGTGGTCTTAGATTTTCTGTAATACTTCATTAAATGCTTTTATACCTGCCTATTTTTCTCGGCCATTTCGTCGTCGGCGGCATCATCATCATCATCATCATCATCAACGTCATCGTCGTCGTCATCATCATCACTTTCTTTTTCTTCTTGTAATATTTTAAAAAGAATTCTGGCATTTTTTTTCTTCCAATGCTTTTGTCCCGATTCCTTTGTCAGTCCTCCCCACCCCATTTCTTTACTGATTTTCCTTCTTTTTCATATAATCTCGGACATCATCAAAAAATTCTTTCTTTCTTATTTTCTAATTTTGAATTTCTCTTGAGAATCTTTTTTTATTCTTTTGTTTTTTCCTCTAATAATTTCCCCTCTTAATTGTGTTTCTTTGTCTTTTTTTTTTTTTGGCGATGTATCATCTTGAATTACGTCTGGCATTCTTTCTTTCTTTCTTTCTTTCTTATCATCAGTCTTTAGCCATTTTTGTTTCCATCGTCTTCTTTATATTTCCTTAAAAATTTGTTTTTTTTATATTTTTTTGTATTCGTCACTTTCGTTTGAATTTTTCAGAGATTTTTATGAGATCATTTTTAACTTAGCCTTCTCATATATACGAGATGAAACTATTTCAGCATCTATCTATCTATCTATCTATCTATCTATCTATCTATCTATCTATCTATCTATCTATCTATCTATCTAAGTTTTTCTCTCTCTTTCTTTCTTAGTTCATATTTATCTATCTATCTATCTATCTATCTTCTTCTTTCATATCTATCTCAGCCTGTTCATATCTAAGTTTTTCTCTTTCTTTCTTAGTTCATATCTATCTATCTATCTATCTATCTATCTATCTATCTATCTATCTATCTATCTATCTATCTCTGTTCATATCTATATCACTCTGTTCATCTCACTCTGTTCATCTCACTCTGTTCATATCTATCTATCTATCTATCCCACTTTGTTCATATCTATCTAGCTATCAATGTTTTTCTTTCATTTTCTTTCTTAGTTCATATCTATCTATCTATCTATCTATCTATCTATCTATCTATCTATCTATCTATCTATCTATCTATGTTCATATCTATCTCACTGTTCATCTCACTCTGTTCATATCTATCTATCTATCTATCTATCTATCTATCTATCTATCTATCTATCTCACTGTTCATCTCACTCTGTTCATATCTATCTATCTATCTATCTATCTATCTATCTATCTATCTATCTCACTTTGTTCATATCTATCTAGCTATCAATGTTTTTCTCTCTTTCGTTCTTAGTTCATATCTATCTATCTATCTTTTATTTTTACAACGATGCATTGTCCTATATTTTCCATTGTTAGTAAAAGCAATACTTACTTTAAAATATTTTTTATATCTACTTTTATACCTTCTTGCCAACATACCTTCTCACTTACATACATATATACATACATGAATTTATGCGAACGCACGCACATATATAAAAACGCACTCATATATAAGTACAAATAATTATGAATACGTTTGTATATATAACTATTTGCTTCACGATTTTTATGTAATATCATAGATGGATAACATCTCTTCTTTCACTCTTTTTCTCTGTCCCCCATATATATATATATATATAGCTTGTTAAATGTATTTACTTATGCATAAATACCTATGCGCTTATTTGTGTGAATATGTATGAGCAAGATATAAAAAAGACAGAGAAGAAAAATTGAATAAACTGGGTAAGAGGGCAAAACAATTTCGGTCGATCAATATTTACCTACATAAGTACGTCTTGCTGTTACGAAATGATTTGTAAGTAGTCCTAGCTGTCCATTATTGTTGTAGTCAGTTTCATTCGCACTGGGTGCCCAATACTTAGTAAATATTTAGGTAACCTTTGCGATGACTTATGTACTTATGCACACACACACACACACACACACACACACACACACACACACACACATATATATATGTTACAGAAAAACAGAAAAAAAAAATATATATATATATAAATATACATATAATTTTTTAAAGACATTTTTTTATGTTTATACGTTCTTTTTAATTTTTAATTTAATTTTTTTTTTAATTTTTAAAATGTCTTAAAAAGGAATTGTCGGACTTTGTCCATTTCATAATGTGTATAAATATATATATATATAAAAGTGAAACATTGAAGTCAACACTCAGAGGCGATAAGCTGTTTCATGTTGGACGCATCAGGTCATTTACATACGCTCTATCTCTGATATTGAACACTTTATCCGATAAATGTAGCACACCTTAAAACTATATTTCTTCATATATATATATATATATATATATATATATATATATATATATATATATATATTAAATATACATGTTAAAGAAAAACAGAAACCGCTAGGAACCAACGGAGAACTTGCCAAAACCTAAAAGCTCTTATCCAGATAAAATCTCGAATAAAACCAACAATACTGAAAAAATAAAGAGATAAAAAAGCCTAAAACATAACTTACTCAGCAACAAAAGTGCTCGAAACCTAGATTGCCTAGACCGAGCAAAAAAGGTTTCGCCAACGTTAAATCCTATGGTTTTCTCTCTCTCTCTCTCTCCCTCCCTCTCTCTCTCTCTCTCTCTCTCTCTCTCTAATAACATATTAACCATTTGAAACCAAGCACGACTATCAAAATAAAACCACTAAGACGCAAGGGCTTAGTGAGTATGAAAAAATATCCGTAAATTAAAAATAAAAAACTTATTAAGTGGAGAACACAATAACAAAACAGGAATTAAACAGACAGAAGATAACGATTGACGTTGCTTTTAAATTTCTGACTGTCAAACTAAACTGGAAAGCAAGGGGCCAGAACCGAAAAGTGCGAGAGAAGAAACTGTTAGCATAGAACTTACGGTTACATCTATTTAAACTGTTAAATGATGTGATCTAGCACCAATTCCAAACTAGTAATGCGCATTAATCGGCTTCAAGAAGGATCTATTCTCGATAGTCAACACAGAAAATCCTTGGAAATTTCGTTTTTATCATCATCGAATGACTTTAGGAAATATAAGATACATGAATAGCACGGCTCTTTCTAAACATTTCTGGTAATTAAAGAATAGAGCTAATACATCCATCATAACATGAGCTAAAACCAAATCTTATAATGGAAAAGGCGATTTATGCCTTGCAGAAAAAATTCTTAAATAACCCTAACTTATTAAACAAGTGAAATTAATTGATAGTCACAAGTAGGCATAAAAATAAATATCTCTTGAAATACACTGATAGAGATTAATTCTACTGAACTTTCTTTTTTTATGTATGTTTCCTATCGAAACGGATATGATTCCACACTAATCTAAACATGTCCTTATGGAGCTCTGGTCATTGAGGTGAAGTGTCACATGTCGATATAAAAAATAAATACCTCTTGTAATACGTTGATCCAGATTAATTTCTACTGTAGATTATAACCTTTCCTTTTTAAATTTTTTGTTTACTTATCTTATGTTGAATATATATATATATATATATATATATATATATATATATATATATATATATATATATAATAGAATAACCTTTTTCAAAAAATAACATAAACATAATTTACAACGTAATAGTTAGAACATGAAGTAAAATAACAACACCAGGGACAAAACATTATTGAAAATATCTATAGAAATACAATAAAAGGACAATTTTATATCATAGTATATCTATATAAGTAAACTAAAACGCTATAGAAGTACAATTATGGACAATTTTTATATTCCTTAATTCCTACAAAATGGAAAAAATATTAGGTTGCTGGAAAAACTTAATAAAAAATGTTTGAAAGAAAGGTTATTGCCAAAATATAGGTTAATTATCCCGGCTTGAAGCAATCGGATGTCTAGCCACACTGATGAGCTGTGATACAGCGAAAAAGGCTTGTATGTGGATGACCATATTACGCTCTTGTCATTTCGATTGAGCACAATTGAGAGAAAGGTAATTACAAAACAGTAGCCGGCATCGCTATTAACGCACCGCTCTTCATTAATTTTGGCTACTGGCGTTTGTTTACATTCGGACACAATATGTTAGAATTTCCCTTTCTCTCTGCCGCGTGTCGATAGCTTAGGAGTAGGATCTCTGACTGATGCCAAATCGGTCGGGGTTCAATCTCGGCTTGAAGAAATCGGATTTCTAATGACAATGATGATATGTGATATAGCGAAACCGGCTTGTATGTGGATGAATATATATATATATATATATATTCATACATATTTCATTAAATAATATTGGCAAGTATTGTCTATTTATTTTATGTAAATTCTTTTCGTAACGTCTGATAAGCTTAATAACATTATCATTAAACGAAGAAAGAAAATCACAATATTAACACATATTTTTTAATCCAATCTAAGCTTTCGGCTTTCATAAACCATTATCAAAGATGACAATTACAGTACAATATATTAAGCAATACACGTACAAGAAAGTGATGATACTCTGTTTCTGTTTGCATCGATGATTTCCAAGCAACGATAAACACGTGCATATAAGACGCTGGAAGCGAAAATCGCACCGCAGCTCATGACATCACACATGACCACGCAAGAGTGAATTCGAGAAGTATTAAGTATGGGAAGCCGTTGGTATAAACCAATGGCTTCTGTTACCAATTATAGATATTTAAGAATATTTGTGTGAATTTCATAGTTTATTTTGTTCAGGTTGGGTTTCAACTGTTTTATGTATATAGCTTCAAGAATATATATATATATATATATATATATATATATATATAGAGAGAGAGAGAGAGAGAGAGAGAGAGAGAGAGAGAGAGAAGAGAGAGAAAGAGAGAGAGAGAGAGAGAGAGAGAGAGAGAGAAAGAGAGAGAGAGAGAGAGAGAGAGAGAGAGAGAGAGAGAGAGAGAGAGAAAGAGAGAGAGAGAGCACGTATACATTCTCCATTATTCTTTTCAGTTTAACCATTGCATACTGATCACCTGCAATTCTAGATAGCAAAGGCAGTGACAGCTAAAATTACATAAATAAATAAAAATGAATTTTGAGCCGATTAGTATTATTAATTATGACGTAAAATACGGATGTTAGAGACAATATAAACGTCAAATAATCATACCTTGCCGGTGTTATTTAATAAAACTAGTCTGGTTATATATATATATAGAGGAATAATAGCGTAATATGGTCATCCACATACAAGCCTTTTTCGCTGTATCACAGCTCATCAGTGTGGCTAGACATCCGATTGCTTCAAGCCGGGATAATTAACCTATATATATTAGCAGGAGAAGCATATTTTCATTAATAGATTTTCTCGAATATTCTGGCCGGTAAACGAATATAAAGTATAGTGTTTAGTAAATAAACGTGTCGACAAAAATAAGTTTTCGGATTAATAAATAAAAAAATCCATTGTTTCTTTAGAGATTCCTTTTTTATGTTAGGATACGAAACTGAGATACTAAGAACGCATTATTGCTCTTTGCTTGATTGGCGAGACGCTTCATAGTTGAGTTGGTCTAAAGCTCGATATACACACACAGACACACACACAGACACCTCCCCATATATATATATATATATATATATATATATATATATATATATATATATATATTTTCCATGCTAGTAATATTGAAGGGAATTTTTGCAGGGAGTTTTTTCTTTCCTTTCTTATATTTTTACCACTCATTCTCAATTGGGTTACTTCCTTTATATGTATAATTATATGATCTAGCCGCAATGCCAAACTAGTAATGCGCATTAATAGCTTTACTGTATAATGTACGATTTAAATGACTAATAAAGTAGCATTAGTAAGGTTGAAGATTATGTTGAGAAGGATATTAGTTTTGCAACATAAATGCTTCATTAAGTTGCGAATTCATTGATTTACCTATACACTTGAGTTCAAATAAATACACATATTCACCCTCCTCTAATCCTTTTACTCTCTCTCTCTGTATATATATATATATATATATATATATATATATATATATATATATATATATATATATATATGCATGTTTCATTAAAAACGACAAATAAGGTACTACAATTAAGCTTTTTATTTAATTTTTCTTGTGTTCGAACAAATGTTTTCTTTTTTGGACACAGAGTGTGTAGAAACTGACCAAATATTCTATAATTCCGAGCGCTTTCGGCTGTACTTTTAGCTATTATCAAGGATGATTTTATTTATTTAGTTTAATTCAGTGTGTGTGTTGTGTATATGTTTTAGTGTTATAGAGATGTTTTATTTTCCGAACACAGCACATTGTGGCCGTGTTCGTAGTTAATATTATTAAGTGTTGGCTTTTTCTTTATATATATATATATATATATATATATATATATATATATATATATATAGGTATGACTTTAGCTACTACATAAAAGAAAACTGGAAAAAGATATCTATGTAACTCTTTCATTCTGTTGAATGAAAATCTTGATAAACTAAGGACATTCCAAGCATCCTTGAATAATATAAATCCTAGCGTCCAATTTACTATGGAGTACAGCAACAAAAAAAAAAATTCCCTTTTTAGACATATCAATAACAAAAAGAAACACTAAACTCGGAACCGGCATGTATTTTAAACCTAATGACTCGACAGTATCTTCTTTTTGCATCTCGTCCGAACGACACTCGTACCTTACTCAACCTAGCCAAACCTAGCGAATCTGTATAAAAAGAAAAAAAATAGAAAAAATGTCATTCCTTATATCTCAAAGGACACAGAAATCTACACACACATACAACTAAATTTACCAATCCTACAAAAGAACAAATAAAGAAAATCGTCAACGAAACATGTAATATAAAAAAAAAACCTGATTGTGTTAATATAGCAGCAACAACCGTCCTAAAACTAAGACCTATAATAGCAGGCCCAGTAATTTCCTAGACATCCTATTGAAAGCTCTCCTCAAAGTCTTTCTGAATTTCATACGATCTAGATTTTCTCAACCATCTACCAAACGAGGTAAACCCTATACTTACATAGTTTCAGTGAATGTTGTGAACCCTTATAGCAGCATCCAACACGACTACGGAATACAAGCCATTAAATACTGGCTGGAAACTTTCCCTCATGCGCTACCAGACCGTTTCAATAGAAAGCCTTCAATGCCTCTTAAAAACAACTATTTCTTGCTCAATGAAACAAATCAGGAACAGCCACGGGGACAAAAATTGGACCAATATACGCCAACCTAGTCACGGGATACCATGAACTAAAAATCTATGGAAGATCCTCGGAAATCATTCTTATGATTTCAGCCAATACATAAAAGAAAACTAGAAAAAAGATATCTAGATGACTGTTTCATTCTGTGGAATGAAAATCTTGATAAACTAACGACATTCCAAGCGTCACTTAATAGTATAAATCCTAGTATCCAATTTACTATGGAGTACGACAACAAAAAACTGCCCCCTTTTTTGGCATATTATTAATAAAAACAAACACTAAACTAGAAACCGGCATATATTTTAAACGTAATGACACTCGGCAGTATTTCCGTATTACATCTTCCCATCCGAAACACATTCGGACCAACATTCCATTCAACCTAGATAATTCAATCTGTACAATAGTCTCAAACACAACATGAGG